TGTACATAATTTCGCTCCACCACATGTACCACATGAGGTGCGAATGACAATAAAGAAACTCTGACTCTGACTCTGACTCTGAAGTCTGTCATGTGATCAAGAGGGATTTACCGGAGTGGTTTGTCCAGAACATAAACTGAGACAGAACATGGTCTATTATAAATTAGGGAGAAAAATAATCTGGGACTAAGAAAGAGAGATTAGGCAACAAGAGCTTTACTGTAAGTTTTGTGTGGTATTCTCTGGGAGGGAGGGGGGCTGCTGGGAATGAAAAGAAATGGTAGGAACATAGATGTTTTTTAGGTCCTGTCCACATCACTCAAAATATTTTTGAAAACTTAAATTTCAGCCGCATTTGCATTTCCCAAACACACAAAAAGTTTTGGTGAAAAATGTTTCTTTCCAAAGTTCATACTTTTCAAAGTTTTAATTTTGGGACTTGGAAAGGAGATTCCCCAGAACAATGGCATAAACCCACTGTTACTTTGTGCTTTTGTCTCTATCTACACTATTCAGGGTTTAGTGGAGTGTATTCACTACATCACTCGCTGATGGTCCAGCGCCATCTGTCCCATGCTTGCAACCCGTCAGCAGAGCTTCTTTCTGTTGTTGTCTAAACACGAGGTGCTGGTATGGTGGTCTCAGAGATCTTACTATGGACACGTTTAGATGACTCTAATCCACCTAAGGATCAAAATCAAAAAGATGAAATTTTCTGACAGCAGACTTTATTATTAAAGTTATTATTATTAATTATTGTAAAATATGCATAGAATCATGCTAACTATACTGTTACATACATGGGTTCCTGAATCTGTAAAAATATTAGGGAGTTTATTAATTTTTTATTTATTGTCCCAAGAGGCAGCAACTCCACTTGGGTAAGCCAAGGTCTGAGCGCCAAGGCCCCTGCCTTCATCCACTGCCCATGGCGTCATGCACCCGACTCATATGGCCCCTCCTGCAGGTGGTGGGTCAACAGGAAGGCAAACCCATGTTGCTCATTTGGGCAGAGTCCAACTCGGCCCCATGGGTAGAGACATGGTCACCAGGCACTCGCCAACAAGCCCCTCCCCCAGGTCTGGCTCCAGGGTGGGGCCCTGGTAACTCACATCCGAGCAAGGGACATGTTTTAATCCATACAAGCGTGTTGAATTGCTCTTTGTCTGGCTTGTCACCTAGGACCAATCTGCCCTACCAGGGGCAATTACAATTGCCCCCAGCAGAGCTCCTAGGATCATTCAGGCACACAAACTCCTCCACCACAATAAGATTCATATTCAATTCAATTCAAATTCAAAAATACTTTATTAATCCCAAAGGGAAATTATTTGTTGTTGTAACTCGTTATCTTCATTTCATTAAGAGATGTTATAGATACTGATGGCTGTAGGCAGGAAGGATCTTTTGTAAAGGTCCATCCCACAGTGGATCCTAAGAAACTGGCTGCAGATGCCGTCCGATCCGTCCACCCAGACTCGGCTGGCCTCTCGGTTCCCCCGGGCTGTAGTACCGCCCAAATGCTGGGCAGAACTCCTCCCAGTGCTATGGCCACTCCTCCCAACAGTCTGCCGAGCTCTTCGTCGCTGCGGACAGTCAGCTGTAGGTGCTGAGGGACGATCCTGTCCTTCCGCTGTCATGAGCTGTGTTTCCTGCTAGTTCCAGGATCTCAGTGGTCAGGCACTCGAGCACAAATGGCAGGTAGATGAGAATGCATCCACAGAACATCCTTTTCAACTCATTTGAGATTTGGGGCGATAGTTGAGGAGATATTATTTGAGCTTTTGAGATGTTAATCAGCTGCTGTTGGTTGTAGAAAACTGCCTTGTTGCCATGGTTATGCATCATATCAAATGTCCAAAACTAAAAAAATTCAGTAAAAATCCTTCCAGCTGCACAGCATCTGATACCAGAGGAAACAATCATCCACAAAAATGTGATTTACATCCAGAAAAGAGGAATTAAAGTTTCCAAAAGCACAATCTCAGAATGAAAGTAACAGAGCTGCTCCAACATGCAGCCACCTTGAGCGGCACAATTCTAGAACAGATGACAGTCAAGGAGGACAGAAAGACAGAAAGAATGAGATTGTGGATACAGGTGGTTGAAATGAGTTTCCTCTGCAGCTGGACTATCCCTTAGAGACAGGGTGAGAAGTTCAGTTATCAGGAGATACTCAGAGTAGAACCACTGCTCCTCCACATCGAGAGGAGCCAGTTGAGGTGGTTCGCGCATCTGGTAAGGATGCTTCCTGGGCGCCTCCCTAGGGAGGTGCTTTGGGCATGACGTCAGTCTGGAAGGAGACCCCGGGGAACACCCAGGACACGCTGAAGAGACTACATTGCTCAATTGGCCTGGAAACGCCTTGGAGTCCTTCCAGAAGAGCTGGAAGAGGAGGCTGTGGAAAGAGATGTCTAGACCTCCCTGCTCAAGCTGCTGCCTCTGAGAACTGATTCCATGAACAAGAGGAAGATGATGAATGTTTATTTATTTACAATGGCATTTTTTTTCTTTTTCACTTGCATTTTTTTTGCACATAATCTCATCTAGACTAAGGTCACAATTTCATGCAAGATCTTGAAAAGAGACAAGAATTAAGAGATAAGATAAGATAAGATAAGATAAGATAAGATAAGATAAAATAAAACTTTATTGATCTCGCAGGAAATTGTTATTCTAGTTAAAGCTAACTTGAGACATAAACATTTAATTACCTATATAATTAATCCTTCTGTAATTAATGTCCATAGAAAACATTGCCTGGTAATACTGGAAAAACACATGTGCCTAGCAAAAAACAAGAAAACTACCAGTAAATGCCTCATCTGACTTTTTTATTTGCTTTTTCAGGTATAAATTGGTACTGCCTTGGTATATTTAAACATCTAGGCCTATATGATTAGAAAACAACCGTACATCTTGCACTACTTTTAAGATATGATATCACATGTCAGGGCGGCACAGCGGAGCAGTTCTTTGTACTGTCGCCTCACACAAACAAGGTCATACTTTTTCCCCATCCTCCGGCTTTTCTGAGTGGAGTTTGCATGTTTCCCTGTGTATTCATGGATTTTCTCCAGCCAGGTAATCTGTTTTCTCCAACAGACCTAAAACATGCATGTCAGGTTAATTTACAGCTCCAATTTATTTTATTTGTTCCACTGTTGTTTGACTCATTGGACTTCATGTGGCCCTATGATGAACCTCTTGAGGGTGTACCCCGCCTCACGTACAAGGTAGGAAAAAGTGGGTAAAGAAATAGATGGATGGATAGATACCGCCGCTCAAGGTGGCTGCACGTTGGAGTAGCTCTACTTTCATCCTGATATTTTGCTTTTTAAAATTTTAATTCCTCTTTTTCTGGATGTAAATCACATTTTTTGGATGATTGTTTCCTCTGGTATCGGATGCTGTGCAGCTGGAAGGATTTTTACTGCAACTTTTTTAGCTTTGGATATTTGTTATGATGTGTAACATCTCCACAGGGCTGTGTGCTTTCCCCCTGCTTTTCTCCCTGTACACCAACTGCTGCACCTCCAGCCATGATTCTGTGAAACTTATTAAGTTTGCAGATGACACCACCCTCATCGGGCTCATCTCGGACACTGATGAGTCTGCATACAAGAGGGAGGTGGACCGACTGGCGACATGGTGCAGCAGCAACAACCTGGAACTCAATGCCCGGAAGACAGTGGAGATGATTGTGGATTTCAGGAAAGCCACAGCCCCTCTGCCCCCCCTCACCTGTAATGATACCCCCATCACCACTGCGAACTCTTATCGGTTCCTCGGCACCACCATCACCCAGGACCTCAAGTGGGAGACGACCATAAGCTCCCTCATCAAGAAAGCCCAGCAGAGACTGTACTTCCTGTGACAGCTGAAGAAGGCCAAGCTGCCGGCCAAGCTGATGGTGCAGTTCTACACGGCCATCATCGAGTCCATCCTCAGCTCCTCCATCACGGTGTGGTACGC